TATATATATATATATATATATACAATTGATGTAACTTTTATATATTTTTTAAGTTGTGTTGAATGTCTTGTTTAAGATTATTGTTCAAATGAGTATGTGATTTTTATATTGTTTTAAGATTGACATTGATAATGATCCAATAGGGGTCGAAACACTTGTTATAAACTATTTGTTGTAAACTATTTTAGCAATAACTTAGCATGAAGACCTTGCTTGACTTGTAGCCTTATTTTTATTATATTAACGACACTAATTTGAGTTTAATTGATGCAGAAGCCGATTTCACATGCTTATACTCTTTTATGAAATTATTATTATATCTTTATATTTAGAAAATTTCATTTGTATAAATTTTTTTTAATTAGGTTACATATGTGAATATGTATTGTATCGAAGTTATAAAAAAATTAATGAAATTAATTATCCATTTGCATTTTAGCTTTGTTAACAACTAATTGTATCGATTTTGCAGTTTCACAAGTGAAATTCAGAACATCTTTGGTACCGTTATCTTCTTTCAATTCCTCTCAAATTGCATGATCATTTGTTTGATTGCCTTCAATGTATCGCAGGTAAATCCAATTGCTTTGATTAATTTATCAAGTTTTCACGCGACCGGTTGAATCGCAGATGAATGTTTATATTCCGGCGGTGCTGATTGGCATGCTGACATACATGTGTTGCATGACGTACCAAATATTCATCTTCTGCTGGCATGGTAATGAATTGCATCTACATGTGAGTATTTTAATAGATATTCTTATACATAGATGTGTGAGAAAACATGCGCGATTTTTAGAGTATGCGTTTAGTCACGGCCGCATACTCGAGCAATTGGTTCTCCAACACCGAAAAATTCAAACGCGGTCTACAAATTATGATGATAAGAGCTCATCGTCCGCTCACTTTAAGTGCCGGTAGGGTCATGTTATTGTCTTTAGATACTTTTATGCAGGTACGTATATTTTTATCAGACACTTTGTTAAAACAAATTCATTCACTCAAATACCCTATAAATATCTAGATGATGATATTGTTTCTCTGGTAATTGAACTTTTGAAAAGCATATCCACTATTTAATTTTCAGTGCAAATCGAGCTGCCTCCTCGACTTATTAAAATAATTCACATATATCTTTATTTTAAATTAATCTTAAATAATATTTATTATCTGAATCCACATTATAGTAGTGATTCTAGAATTTAAAACTAAATTGTTTTAAATTTTTAAGTAGAATTTTAGGTCGTTTGAACAAAGGTAATAGTTCTTGTATATTTCAGATAATGCGGATGTCCTATTCGATTTTTACGGTACTTCAAGGATCGGCAGCTTAAAAATCAGTTTAATATCAAATTTCGTAGCTATGATATATTTTTTAAAACTACAAAGAACAGCAAATGAAATATAAATGTTTTAGTTTTATTGAATACTGTATTATTATTATTATATATATATATATATGTACAAAAGTATATATAAAATTTATATATATAAAAATATTTTTCATGATATTGCCTATATTATTAGAACGAGAAAAAGAATTAACAATTGTTTGTTTGATAAATCATACGATGTATCACTCTTATCATTTTATGTTAGTTCGGTTTGTATATTACAATATTTTTACAAAATTTAGCTTAAACCTTTTAATTGATTACAGTGCTTCTACCATCACAGCGATACCTTGACCGCCGCCAATACAAGCAGAACCGATGCCGAATTTTCCAGCCTTTCGCCTTCTGCAAGAAAAATACATATATAAATCAGAACATATATTAATAAAAATGAGTTGTTTTATACTATCATAAGGTATGTTACCTAAGTTCGTGCACCAAATGAGCAGTGATCCTGCTACCAGAAGCAGCCAATGGATGTCCTATAGCAATAGCACCACCATTTACATTCAGTTTATTTAGATCCAAATTAAGTTCCTTTGCACACGCTAAAGTCTGAGCGCCAAACGCTTCGTTGATCTATCAGAAATTACATAGTTAATGCATGACAAGAGTAAAATCTAAATTATATTTTTAATTACTTTTTATATTAATTATTTTCACATTTTTACGTTAAAGATACTGCTTGATAGATAAAATTTCTATTGTATAAATTGAAATCTTACCTCAACGATTTCTATGTTATCGAGTGTTTTGCCCGTAGCTTTAAGTAAGTTCTTGATTGCTGGTGCAGGACCAATTCCCATAATGCTCGGCTCTACGCCGACAATACTATATCCTACTAAACGTGCCAATGGTTTCAAGCCTTCAGCCTTGACAGCTTCTTCACTAGCTAAAATAACAGCGCTCGCTCCGTCACAGATACCCTGAAAACAAGAATAAAGCCGAGTTAATTAAATTTGGGAAAATCGTTATAAAGATTGATATAAAAATTCTATCCATAAAATGAAAACACAGTACTGATGCAGAACCAGCTGTGACTAATCCATCTTTCTGGAAAACTGGTTTCAATTTGGCAAGTGTTTCTATCGTCGTTTGCGTACGTGGATGTTCGTCCACACTGACAGATGTATCCTGCTTCTTAATTTTCACTTGCACAGGCGCTATTTCTTCATTGAAACGACCCGCATCGTTGGCTGTAATATGTTTTCTTAAATAGAGGCTTAAATTCTATAATCTAATTTATTTAATTAAAGAAAAAAATAAACTACAAATTTCATATTTAATTAATAGCTAATACATAAAATTTCATATTAAGTAAAATATTGTCGATATCTACCAGCTTTCCAACGTTGCTGACTATTCAAAGCAAATTGATCGACTTCTTCTCTCTTTAATTTGTATTGAGCACCGAGTTTTTCCGCAGTCAGACCCATAGGCAAATTACAATATGTATCAAGTAATCCAAGCCAAAGTGAGTCTTCGAATTCATATTTCTGGCCCAAGGCTGTGCCATAACGAATGTTTCTCACAACAAAAGGAGTTTGGCTCATGTTTTCTGCACCACCCGTCAAGACAATCTTTGAGTCTCTCATTAAAATATTCTGAAATGGAAAAATGTAGTCACTATAGTTGAAATACTATATAATAACTTTAATTTCTGCAACTATTCCTTATTAGTAGAGGAGAAGGTTGTATTATAGTCAGTGTAGACATAATGGCTCTCCTAATACCTTCACTATTAGGTGACGAATATTAGTGATTACTCATGGAATTATTTATTTAGTACTCGCCGTTACACCATAATACTAATGTACCAATACACAATAGTCAGCATTTTTCATAACACATTTTTACTTTCAAGCATTTCGAAACGTTTTTAAAATACATTTTATCATTTAATTACATATGCTCCCTCATTCTTTTTAAACTTGAATGTATTATTATACGAATACATGTATATACTTAAATATGTTTCTTTAACACTTTATATAAATTTCCACTCAAGCATAGCAGTGTCTGTAAAGTGCTAAAAAAAAGCGCTTGTATGCCTTTTTTCAGCGCTTTCTTAATGCTTTGTAGATACTATATCGGATTTACACATCTTCGAGGTGCTTGATTAAAGTTTTCGACTTTCACGCGGTACATCTTGGATAACGGCGGTACTCATATTTTAAAGTCTCATAACTCAGGAAGATCTCAATTAAAGAGTTTGTAACCAGTGTTTTGAAAACGCCTTGAGGTGAACTATAAGAATATGCAATAAAAGATATGGGTTCTCATTTTTAAAAATTCAAATCGACCTTGACATAACTTTCACAACGGTCAATCATATATGCTCATGTAATGCATTATTTGATTCCAAACAACTTTTGTCTGAAACATTTTTCAAAATAACCATTTCCCTCGTTTTTAAATAGGTTATTATATGGGTGATCTGAAACACCTAGTTTTTTATTGTTCTCATCTCTATTGGTATAATATTATTTATTCTCTCCTCAGTGTTTACTAAATTATTATTTTAAGAGAATTATGGAATTCTTGGCAAACCTGAGCCCCGCTGATAATTGCTTGAAAACCAGAACCACATAATCTATTTACACTAAATGCTGGTTTTTGTAACGGAATTCCTGACTTTAATAAAGTATGTCTTGCCAAAAAAGCACCATCGGAAGATGAATTCTATGAAGAAAAAATTAAAAGTACGTCAGTTTAGTTTAAAAGACCAATGGATGCATTCCGTTTCATGATATGCATACTGCATCATTTATCCTTGTTTAACATTCGGTGAACAAGTATAAATGCATCATGTGTGAAACGGAATGTACCCTATGTAAATACTCGTAAATGGAAACTGATTTACCATTAGAACGTGTCCAAATACAACACTGTCAATCTTCTCTGGTTTTAGGCCTGCTGCCTGTATCGCAGCAGTCGATGCAACAACTGACAAATCAGTTGCACTTTTGTTTGTAAACATACCCCCCATTGTACCAAATGGAGTACGCTTTGCAGCAACAATAAAAATACCTATGGGAGATTTTAAATTAATAATTTATTTCTTACTAATGTCCTATTCTCTTATATTTCAACTGATTTTGATTTTATATTCCATTAAACTATTAAAGTTTTAAATAAAAATTATTAGATTTGTAAAAAATATGACACATGTACTCTAGTAAATATCAATTATAACAGTAACATATTCTACTTATAATGGTAGAATTTTTACCAAAACTATCAATTAATTCGATTCCATTTCAGAGCAAATCAGAGTGCTATAGGAGTAAAATAAGCGCAGCTAAACACATTTCCATCCACTTAAATTTTGTTCTACATTACATTAGATGTGTGTTTCGGTGGAGACTAGACCAATATTATAATTTCCATTTTTTTTTAATATTTTCCACACACAATAATATAAATATAACATGCATGTATGTAATAATTACATTATTAAGTAGGAAAGTATAATAATGAAATTATATTATTATTATTATTTTTAGTTGATGTTTACATACAGATAACTATTAAACTATCATACTAAACTAAGTTGCAATTATATGCTAAAGCACATACGTTCGGTAAGCGACACAAGCAGATACAAGTTATACACCGTTTTCTTTTCGTTATTTGTTTTATCTCATTATGATTTCGACTAAACTGTCTAATTAAATCGATTAATTCAAATAATAGATGTCTATTATTTTTCAATTTACTAATGTAGACTAATTTTAATCTCGATTTAACTTACTTTTTATCTTATAATTTTATGAACTAAAGAAAGATAAATAGTAAAATTTTTACGATGTAATTGTAATTATATAAATAATGTTACGATGTAACTGAAATTGATCTTTGCGCGCAAGCGCGTGTGTGTGTGTGTGTGTGTGTGTGTGTGTGAAATGCCAAACTCGTTTAAAGAAAAATTTCTAATTGTTATAATGTAATTCGAATTCAATCTTTTCTTTCAAATATAAAACAAAAAATTAATAACTTTAATTGCAGGTATTATTTGACAAGTACATCACCACGATGAAATTAATCAGAGCTTGTTTTTGATGTTTAAAATATTAAACGAGGAGGGGAGGAGGGAAGCAGACAGACTTTATACTTAAATCCTCTCCTCGAGTTTGGCATTTCACACATACACACACACACATCGGCATGGTGAATCCAATAATGCATGTTTTGATCAAGAATTCAGATAAGAATAAAAATTATAGGCATATACCTTTTGTTATGGCCGACATCGTGATGAACCACTTCAAGTTACTTTTGTAGAACTACTACGACTAGAATATGACGAAACCCACTCGATCAGATATACCCACTCGGGGCTCAAAGTCCATCAATGTGGATAGCGTCGAACTTTAATCAGCTCATGTTTATTGAAACTTTCATACTACCGTTATCAGATCGTGACACGGCATGACATGGTGCTGCGCGCAGGACTGCTGAAAGAGCAAAGGCAAAGAACTGGCCCGGGAAATACTTCAACATTCGATTTCACGTGTGTTCCTCTTATTACAGCTTCGTTTATACGAGATCATAATTATCTAATCATATCTATTTCTATAAAATTTCTCAATGCAAGCATCATACGATTTCGCACATTTTTATACAACGGGTCAATAAGTCGTGATGCAGTCATGTTAGTAGTACAATATATATTATTAAACATATACATATTAATGAATGTTCTTTTACATGAAAAATTATTCCTCTTGAAAATTAATGCAAATCTTTATCTCATGTATTTTTTTCTTTTTCTTTGAAGTATTATATTATCTCATTTATTTCAGTGATAATTATTCAGTCATTCAGTTTTGTATATCTATTGATATAATTTAAATTGAGCGATTAAAAATATTTTATTTATATCATTTTTTTTTTCTGTTATCCAGACAATATACATTAAGACAATACGCATTAAGACAATATATGGATTTTCTATACAATAAGCTATTTATATACTTATATAAGCTTTAAGTTTTAAACAATATTTACTAAGATATTGATCATAGTTAATTATTCTTCTCACATTCGATTGTGACTGATTAATTTCCTATGGCTTAAGAATTAAAGTTTAAAATAGACGACTTATTGTAGAATATGTGAATAAAAAATGTATTTATGATGCTTTTAGACATGTGTTATTGGAGTAACGTGTAGTATGTACACATATAGCACAGAAAGACTGCAAAATAATTACAGATATATCTCATTGCAATGTTATAATATTGTAAATAGATTGCGCGATGTATTTGCAACATTGTTGCAATGTCATAACATCATAAAAATGTCCACCTTCAGCAAGATTGC